GGTGAATAGCCGACGCGGAGGATGGTTGAATGTTATATATAATGAGCTGCATGGAGAATACTAGTATATCATTAGTAACACTGATTAAAATACCAGAATGTATTTTTGTATTTTATATGTCTCATGTTTTGTCATTTGTATTGATGAGATCATCCTAGCCTCTTGGCATGTCTCACTCTAAAATAACCTCCAACCACATTTCTCTTCTATTTGAGTTTTTATAGTACTGAAGCTTCTTGAATGACGGCTTCCGCCTGAAATGACTGTTCTGAGGGAATGGCATAGGCTACTGAACTCAGTTCCACTTCAGCTTCGCCATCCTAGCTGCTATTGGCTTGACGATCGCTAGTGACTTTGGGTGCGCGACTTCAACTCGCGAGTGCACCTATCAGAGCCGTCCTAACCGCCTGCCGCTCCCGGACGCAACCTCACATGTCTTGCCCCGAATCCCTTCTTGTGCACCGGTTTGAACACGACTACGATAAATTATCTTTTCACTGCCACCACCACCTCCTTTTGCATGAATATGGACTGCCAGATTGCTCTGCTTAGGCGGCAGTATCTCCAACTTGTGGAGCCGTCTTGCCTCTCCTTCCCCCATCTAAATCTCCTGCAACAGTCGTCTTTCCAGGCCGCTTTATGCACTAGTTTGTTTACCCCTGGGGCTTGGAATGCAGCGCCTCCTCCACCGCCGGAAAGGTATACTGCCCGGGTTCTCAAGAAGTTGATTTCTCTACTCTCCGAGGGAGGAAGTCAAGCTCGGCTTGTGCCCGGGTCCGCTGTCACTGAAAACTCATCTCAGGAGGAAGAGGAAGAGGGAAAAGTACGCTCACAGTTCCCTCACAAAAAGCCTAAGCCCCACCAGCTCCCGGTCTCACCTAAGCACCAGGAGATCGACGAGCGACTACTATCCCTTTACACTCGCCTCCTCTCGAGCCTGCCCTCCCCATCTTCCACCACCCCCTTCTTACCCACTTCAAAGGAAAACGTGACATATACTCTCCCACCCTCACCCTTCTCGGGCCGTTCTATTGGCCAGCCCATCACCTTGTTCGAATCACGCGCCCTGATATCTGGGAGCGGGACAACAGGGCTGAGGACCTGGGAGGCGGCATTAGCGCTGGCGGAGTATCTGATCCTGAGTCACCTCGGGAGGTTTTATAGCTTTCCCGGAGCTGCGGTGGTAGCGGGGGAGAGGCTAGTAGAGGAGGCCGGAAGTGTACTAGAGTTGGGGGCAGGGACGGGTCTGGTGGGCATTGTGGCGGCCAGGTTGGGTGCTGGGAGGGTGGTTGTCACTGATGGTGATGAAGTTGTTTGTGATGACCTAAAAGCTGGGCTGGAACGTAATGGCGTCGCGGATGTGGTGGGCGTCAGGCGGCTGGTGTGGGGTGAGGAGAAGGAGGGGGAGGGTAATGAGGGAGAGAGGTTTGATCTAGTGGTCGGGGCGGATGTGGTATGGTGATCCCTTAGACTTTATGCAGGGGATAGATAGGTGTTGATAGTGGGTAGACATACGATACCACTGCTATCGCACACCTCGTAGCCGAGTTAGTGAGGCTACTTAACAGAAACCCTTCAGCCAAAGCCGTCATTTCCGCCACAATACGCAACGAAGTCACCTTCTCCGCCTTCAGAGATTCCTGCGGTACGTTTCCTCGTTCATGTTCGCGCATGTATATTTCGAACTAACCAAATCTGCGTATTCAAATAGCGAAAAACAATCTATTGCTCCTGGAGGAAACCTGGACGCCGCCAACACCTCCAATCTTTTACTATCCTACAAGTACCCCAATTCGCATCGTACATGTGACAAGAGAGCCACTTGAATAACGGGCATGAGATAGCAAACTCTTTGCTGACCTAAAAAAAACTCGTGTATATACGCAGCCTCCACACTGGTTACGAACATAGATGTAACCGCACTTGTTGATAGGAATTCATGTTTTGTTGAATCACTTTTCGAAAGTGGCCGGGGGGGGTGATCAGATCGGGAACCACAAGCCCCGACTTGCGTGTAACCCACGTGAGATCGAGGGAAGGAGCTTCCCGAATATAAATCACCGCCTCCGAGTACCCTGCCGCCAGACACCAGCTCCAATCTATCCTGCTCTCTTAGCACCGGCCGGAGCATCGGTTCCTCGTCGCTGTATAACTTTGCCAACAGCATCTCTGACATCTGGCGCACTCCTAATCGCCGATTCGATCATCCAATCTTCCAACTTCTTCTTAAGCATCCTCTGCATTCCAGGGTCCGCGTCGAACGGGAGCAATTCCTGGGTAAGTATTGTGGAAGCCTCAGCATCGTTTCTATGAAGGAGCGTTGCCATGCGGTCCAGCTGCGGATCCAGCGCTTCCGCAGTCAGGGGGCCACTGATGGGACGGCTGTGCTGGAAAAGTGGTGCGAGCTGGGAGAGTGCGATGAAGGTTGTAAAGAGGACCTTACGCGCGAGCGCAAGTTGCTCGAAAGGGAGGAGCGTATTCAAGATGGGGATTCGTGTGAAGTAATGGAACGGCCGAGTAACGATGAAGGCTTCGAGGACAGCCATGCAAAAGAATGCGTAGAAGCGCCACTATATATCAAAACAGCGTATCAGCAAGAGCTTCAACCTCAACACGGGTTATAGGTGAGCTCACGTATCTCCCGAATTCCATCTTCCCTAGAACACTCAAGATCACCAAAACAAGCACACTTCCCAAATAATACGGCACCATCATCGTGACCCCGCGGATCAAATAATCATAAGCACTCGAACAATTCCTCCATTCAAGTATATCTGGTCCAAACCGGTCATACGCCCCCCTCATTACAGGATCGATAAGTGTATCGTAGGCAGTCTTCAACATTACAAAGTAAGTCTCTCCCTGTGTTCCGACCTTGTCGGGATGATACATCACCGTGAGCCGCCGGAATTTCCCCTTCAGCTCCCGATCACTAGCACGCATTCCTGCCCCCAGAATCTTGTAGAAGTTTGGCCCGAGAAGTATGGCATTGTAGGATTCGTAGATGGTGTACAGGAGGTAGAGAGTTATGACTAGGAAGTTGGTGAGCTTGTAGGCTTTTAGGTAGGTTGGCGTGCCCGGCTGGGGACGGGGATCGCCCGCTCGGGTTATCAGGCGGTACCAGAAGGAAAGGATGGAGGAGGTTGCTAGCTATGGGGTATTTGTTAGCTAGTTTAGAGGAGGGAATGGGGAGCTTACAGAAGGGAGAAAACTCCAGCCGATAAGCGATAAGAGGGCAGACATAGCGGGTGATTATGTGAAAGAGCGACGGTGAAACTGAGTGCAATGAATGAATGGGTGATTGTGTTTACCGGGAGGTTGGTACAGTATTGCTGCTGTTGGATGGCCTGAGAAGGCTACGGTATGCTGGTGGACAGGACACCGTAGACTATGTGTTTGGTCAGTGTGACAGGGTGGCCTGCTTGCTTTTACTGTACCGTACTGGATACATACTCTACGCGTAACATAAGTTACCGTAATAAATTTACCAAAGTTAACTTGCAATGTTTTACTTGGTGGGTTCAAAGTTACCCGGCATCTCTACAAGATGCCCCCACCAACTCCCAGCGCTCAAACCCGCTTTCGCCCAACCCAATTCAACCCAATCCAATTCCCGATCAGTCCGATTCGAAGCTTCTTCCACCGCAATGCCAACTCCAGCAAAACATCACGACCATAAACACAGAAGGAAGGGCAAGGACCGCAAGCGCAAACTCCTTGCTGGTTCCCCTCCCGGGACCTCTAAAAAAGCCCGTACCATCACTACCACTACCGCCACTTCTTCTTCCTCAAAACGCCACAATAATGCCTCCTCCTCTGCCTCCGCCGTGACCGATTCGCCCGCAGGCAAAACCCCCTACCACGCAATAGGGGCGAGCCTCTACCTAACACTCTCCCCCAAATACTCGTACAGGACTACCCAATCCCCACACACAACCCCACTCTCAGGCATACAAAAGGATCACCTGGACCCGCTGCTAATGTCCTATTTCGAGCCCGTTAACGGGGTCGTGCTCGCCTATCGGAATGTAGAATTCGAAAGCGATTGCGCTAGGATCGTGGGTGAGTCGCCGTTTGCCCATGTTTGGGTCTTTGTCGAGTTTCTGGTTTGGCGGCCATTGAAGGGGATGCTGCTGAAGGGGTGGGTCAATATGGCGGGGGCTAGTCATGTGGGGCTGCTTGTCGAGAATACGTGGAATGTGGCCATTCCTAGGGAAAGGATTCCGGAGGGGTGGAGGTGGGTTGAGGGGGCGGGGGTGGAGGTGGGAGTGGTGGCAGATATTGAAGAGGGCACAGGGGCGGATGGGGGATATTGGGTGGATGGGGACGGCAAGAAGATAGAAGCCTTCAGGAAGTTTAGAGTTGAAGCGGTGAAGGCAATGGGCCATATGGTGTCCATGGAGGGGAGTTTGTTAGGGGTCAATAAACCAGAGAAGATGCCCCGAAGGGAACGAGCCAAATAAATGACTGGGAACGTTCTGTACATCTGCGCTACGAGATGTGGATCACATTGATAATTTTCTCTCCTCTCTATATATTTATTTGTGTGTGTATGTGTCAACCTGATTTCATTCTATGGTTCCGGGTGTTTATACTGTGAACCTAACATTTTGCAACGGGGGACGCCTTGGCATTCAGCCACAAATTAAAAAAAGTGGAACCTAGTTTGATTTCCTGAGTGTTCATAGTGATTTTTGATATGTTCAAGCCACAGAGTTTCTATCATGAAATAGTGGTGGAAAATTGATTAATACTAGCATACATTAAGTGCCTAAGGCTGTGTGTTTGGCTCGCCAGGATGAGGACTTAAATCTAGACTTTAAGTCCAGTTGTGTTTGGCTTGCCACATCAGCAAAAATTCATTCTCCGTCAGATCCGCGCGTCTCACATCCCGACGTAGCGCGCTCGTCCCCTGCGTCCCCTGCGTCCCCTGCGTCCCGTGGGTCCACTACTCCGGTGCAACGCCCCCCTGCGTCATCTGCGTCCCCCTTTTACCCTGTCGATTCCCTCCGTCTCCAAGCAGGCGCCGTCCGCCCATACGTCCGGACCGCGTCCTGTTT